GAATCCCACTGACCTAAGTACAGCTTATCCTCATCCGGGTCATCCAGCACCTCCACCAGCTTAACCACGTTGGGGTGGTCAAGCTTCTTCAAGATGGCGATCTCCCGGTACACCCGCTCCAGGGGGTTGGGCGGTCGAGAGTTACCGCCCCCTTTGCCCTCCCGGGACGGAGGCATCCGACCTGTGATCACGTTAATTGTCTTTAGTTTTCGTAAGAGTGTTACGGCACATGCAACACAATCAGGGTCATATAGGTGTCGAAGAGTGGAGGTGTTATAAGATAATTATATACACATTTTTAAAAAAGAGGAGAGATGTGGACGATAGACGTTTGATGTTCGACACGTAGGCCTTTCAAAATTGGCTCTCACTGGAAAAATAGAAGAAGACAAACGTAGCGGGAAATACCAAGAGCAGCTTGCTAGGAAAACCTTAACAGATGGGCGATGGGGAAAATAACTTGATGAAAATAGTTATAGAGCATTCTCGCAAGGAAATGAATGACGAACTAATGATCGCCAACGTTTGTTTCAGATCTGGTACTTTACGATGGTGATGAATGCTTTTTGTTCACCCCCCCCCCCCCCCAAACCATTTATCACCTATTCCTGTTTATCAATACATATAGGAGATGGTACGTATCAAATCAATGATAATGTCATGGTTTTTTTTTATTCTTTACATTTCTACACAAACCACACGCTTTTCTCAATTCTAATCAGTAAAGTGTACTACGCTGCCTTTTTTTTCAAACCTGAAATAATATTTTGCAGTTGAAATAACAATTATACAGATACATTCGGACTTACGAAAAAAGCCAGCTTTTTTCATCAGCTTCTTTTTGGACAGGATTTTCATTGCCTGAAAACAAAGACAAAATGAAATATACAGTCAAACACGGATAACTCGAATTTGTCGGGGATTGGAAATAGGGTTCGAGATTTCCGTAGTTCGTCATGTCCATGAAAACCTTTCAAAGAAATAGAAAATCGAGGGAGGTAAAAAATAACATTAAAACATTTAACGTGGTTAGTTCGTTGATGAACGTGATGACGGTGTGGAAGCAAGAAGATGAATGAAAGTGGAAAGCAGAATATCTCACGTGTGCACAGCCGACTTAATTACTCCTACGTCATCCCTTTCCTCTCATTTCATTGCCTTACAGAAAGTTACACCACTTGCCATCTACACCTTGCGCGTTCCACAGCATGATTGCACGCGTGGCGAGCCAGTCATGCGCTGCGGTCAGCATCACTCCCTAACCCCCCAGCCCCGTCCCCCCTTCCTCCAGCCTCTCGTCGTGAGACAAGGACCACGTTGTGGCAGTAACAGAAACAAAGAAACAACTACCCGCGGGCCAGAAAGGCTGTAAAGCCGGGTCTTTAGTTGAGCATGCGAAATGGATTTGTTCGAGATTCGAGTGTTAAGTGTTCCAAGTGTTCGGGAACTCCGCAAAGTCGACACCCTCTCTGGTCAACACAAAGAAAACAAAGGGACTAAAACGGGACCGATCATTATGTTCGAGATATCTGAGAATTCGTGATTCTCGTGTACGAGATTGGTGGACTCTACTGTACTTGTAAAATGTGCATCACAGATATCACCTAAAACCTGAGAATAGTAATATGTGGTGTGACATGGTAAGGTGTGGTGTGGTGTGGTGTGTATGGTGTGTGTGGCGTGACGTGGTATGGTAATACAGTATCTAATGGCAAAGTTTGACATAATGAGTATGATACAATATGAGAAATCGAGTGTGTGAAGTACTTACATAATGGATATCGTCTTCTTCATTGTAGGCGAGCTTTACGATTCCGTAAGAGCCCTGAAACATAATAGCAGAATATCATATTAGCTATGTCAGATACACAGACATGCACAGATACATGTAGATATTAACGTAATCTACCGTTTCCATGATGATGATGATGATGATGATGATGATGATGATGATGATGATGATGATGAT